TAACTAAATAAGTCTGTATTCTGTGGATGTAGTTTACATAACCAGTTCTCCATTGATGGACATTTGAATTATTTCCTGTCTTTACCATTACAAATACATTGAATAACCTTGTGTTTGTTTGTTTTCATATTTTTGCTATTGTATCTTTGGGATTCCTAGAAATGGGATTACTAGGCCAAAAGGTAAATGCGGGCTGGGCATGGAAACTCATGCCTGTAATCCTCGCACTCTGGGAGGTGAGGTGGGAAAATCGATTAAGGTCAAGAGTTCGAGATAGCCTGAGCAAGAGTGAGATCCTGTCTCTACAAAAGAATAGAAAAATTAACTGGGTTAGGTGACATGTGCCTGTGGTCTCAGCTACTTGGAAGGCTGAGCCAGGAGGATCGCTTGAGCCCAGGAATTTGAGGTTGCAGTGAGCTATAATGATGCCACCACATTCTAGCCCAGGCGACAGAGGGAGACTCTGTTTAAAAAAAAACAAAAGGTAAATGTAAATGTAATTTTGTTAGACATTGCCAAATTCCCCGCCAAAGGGGTTTTAATTCCTATCTGTATTGTCAGAATCTTTTTCTTCCTCGTTTCTTTTTTCATTATATCTTTTATTGAAAAGCATTATATATTGAATTACCTGGGAAACAGAGATGTTCCCCAGGCTTTTTGACTTTTTCCTCAAGTAGGCAGACAAGCTTATATTGATGGTATTCATATCTTGAAGGTCACTGGAACAGTTTCCTCATTGATCCAGCCTCCTGGGTAATGGTATAAAGTATGGTATTTTGTGAATTCCCTCTAGAAAGTCTGTAGAAATAGAGCCTAGAAGGTTTAATATTTTAAACTGCTCATTCAAATCTGGAACATGTGGTTAGTGTGAGTGAGTTGCCTTTTTGTGGATGAAGATGCCACTGAATTTATGAGGGGAGCAAATATAAATTGTAATAGTCATCCCTTATTGAGTAAGTACTATGGAGCAATCTCTGGGATATTTGTTACATGAAAAAACTGGCAGAGAAAAGTATGTACGTAATGCTACCATTTACCTAGAAAGGGGGGCATACAAATATCTCTATGTCTTTGTTTATATTGTTCTTTTTAAAAAAGGAAGTTGTTTTAAGCTAAAAACTGCTTACCTATGAGATAGGAAGGGAATAAGATGGAGGGAAGAGACACTAGCTCTACTTTATTGAGTAGGTACTATGCTCCAGGTCTTGTGCTAAGTACCTTATGTATTTTGTATAATCTTCCTAGTAGCCCTTTAAGTGAGGTAGATTCTTTTCTCCCCATGTTACAGATAAGCAAGCCTCAGAGAGATTAGGTAAGAACTTAATCTTTAGTCACACAGCCCGTAATTGGTAGAGTTGAGAGATATATACCCAGGTCTTTCTGACCTCAAAAATATTGCTTACTATTA